TAAAAATAGCAAGCTTTGTGCAATAAATCGGCTATCAGAGCATCATATTGGTGTGCTGTAGTCCGTTCTTCGCATGGACCCCAATAAGCAGTTGATATCCGCAGGTTGAGATTGAGGAAGAGAATTGTCCTGGGAATACGTCAGGAAGGAAGGATCCTGTGAAAATCAGGGATGATAGAGATGTTTGCATCCACGTCTCATCTTCAGAGACTGGGCATGCCTTCATCTGGGGATGGCTGTGCTCTGCCATGCCCCATGAGCTGACCTTGCTCTCCTCTCCTCCTTCCCTCCTCACCCTCTCTTGGACCTGAGGAAATATCTGTGAGTGTGGAAGATGCACGGTCCTCCTGGAGTGAGGTCCTATAACTGCAGGGGAGGAGGGATGGATGTGTGAGACACATGGGAGTGCAGGGTAAAAGCAGTGTGCGTGTGGTGGTGACTGTGTTAGAGGCAGGAACAAAGCCTGAAATATCGGGTGGCTGTAGTGGGGCTGCAGTGATGAGGTTGAGCATTGACTTTCATAGAATCACGGCCATCAGTGAAGGAAGAGCTGGTGTGTCAACTATTACAGGAACTTGACCTGTGTAAATCAATGGGCCCAGATGCCATCCATCCGAGGGTGCTAAGAGAACTGACTGATGGTGTTGCGAGGCCGCTCTCCATAATCTTTGAGAAGTCATGGAGATCAGATGTGCCCAAAGAATGGAAGAAGGCTAATGTCACCCCTATATACAGGAAGGGTTCCAAGGTGGACCCAGGTAATTATAGGCCCGTTAGCCTCATGTCGATCCCTGGGAAGATTATGGAGCAAATCCTCCTGAGTAATATCACCAGTAAACTGGGGCATGTGATTGGGAAAAGCCAACATAGATTCACAAGGGGCAGATCATGCTTAACAAATCTGGTTGCTTTCTATGACGGAGTGACCCGTTTGGCTGATGCGGGATGAGCAGTGGATGTTGTCTACTTGGACTTCTCCAAGGCTTTTGACATGGTCCCCCACAGCCTCCTCCTTGAAAAACTGACAAACTACAATGCAGATCAATGTCTCTGCGGTGGGTGGGGAACTGGCTGATGGGCCATACCCAGAGGGTGATATTAAGTGGTTCATTCTCTAACTGGCAACCAGTTACAAGTGGGGTTCCTCAGGGATCAATATTGAGCCCGATGATATTTAGTATCTTCATTAGTGATCTGGATGTTGGAATCAGGAGCTCCCTGATGAAGTTTGCTGATGACACCAAAATGAGTGGGGTAGTTGACACTCCAGAAGGGAGAGCAACCCTCCAGGAAGACCTGGAAGGACTGGACGGGTGGGCTAGCGGGAACTGTATAAAGTTCAACATGGACAAATGTATCTGGGAATACTTAATCCAAGAATGCAGCTGAGACTGGGCTCCACCTGGCTAGAGAGCAGCCCTGTGGAAAAGGACCTGGGGGTCTTGGTGGATGACAAGCTCAACATGCGTGAACAGTGTGCTGCAGCTGTAAAGAAAGCCAACAGGATGCTGGGTTGCATTCAAAAGGGCATCACCAGCAGAGACAAAGAAGTCGTCATCCCTCGCTACTCAGCACTGGTCAGACCACACCTTGAGTACTATGTCCAGTTTTGGTCCCTGCTATACAAAAAAGATGCGGACAGGTTGGAAAGGGTCCAGAGAAGGGCAAGGAGGATGTTCAGAGGACTGGAAGAGCTGCCGTACGAAGAAAGTCTGAGAAAACTGGGCCTGTTCAACCTTGGGAAGAGAAGACTCAGGGGGGACCTTGTCACTATGTACCAGGACAGAAAGGGTGGCACCAAGAGGATGGAGACTCCCTTTTCACAAGGAGTCCAATGGAAAAGACGAGGGGTAATGGACACAACTTGCTGCTGGAGAGATTCACGTTGAACTCCAGAAGAAGTTTTTTTTACCATGAGATCAATCAGACATTGGAACAATCTCTGGGGGAAGTGGTGAATTTCCCTACACTGGTCAGTTTTAAGAGTCACGTGCCTTGTTCCACTCTTGACTCTAATAAGAGGTTAGGTACCTAGATATCCAGCCTGTGGGTGGGATATTTCCCATACAACAATCTTTTGGAGGAACTCTACTGACCCATTGTCTCTCCATATTTACAGTCCTACAGCTCTGACAGGAGGAAAGCACCCTGCAGTGCCTTAATTTGCTACAGCACTTCATCGCCTTTCTGACTCTTGAGTCTTTTGGTCCTGGTGGGAGATCATCTTCTAGTCTTAATCCTAACCTTGTTGGACAGACTGGAGGCTGTTGAGTTGCATGTAGGGTTCCAGAGCAGGAAATCAGGGATTGCGTTGGCCTCACACAATGGCAGAAGTTACTTTCCTCTGGAGGGTTATTTGTGCTGGTGCCTATAAAGCCACCAAGTCTGCCTAGGTCAGACTCAGTCAACCATTCTTTAGGAGTTGGGGCCAAATTAATCTCTAGAAATATAGGGAACTGCAGTGTAGTGATACAACACAGTCTTTTTTTCTTTCCCATGCATATGTCTCAAAACCAACCTTCCTCTCTAGGCTCTTTCTGGGTGTGAACCAGCACACAGACACCACAAGCAGTCGCAGTTCAACCTCTCAGGGCCACCTCCATCTATAGGATAACATGGGGCACAAGCACGGGTTGGGACCCAGGAAGGTAAAGGCACAGAGAAGCCTTTGCTGTTGTTGCACAGTGAAGCACAGATTGAACAGGCTTAACTTCTGCTTCCTTGCTTGCTTTTTTTTGATGCTGTTGTCTCAGTTTTTCTGCTTTTTAAAGACTTATAGTTACACTGCAAGGTGCTTGTCAGGCCAATGCCCATGATTCTGACAGTCTTTCTAAAAGTGTTCATGGTACCATGGATGTCTGGGGAGGAGCAGTGACAGCACCAGCATCCCCACCTTCTCCCCTGAGGCATTACTGCCTTATAACCAGGTGAGAGTGACAGAGAGGTATCCAGAGAACCATATCCAGGTGCTTTCCAGGGGAAGAATGGAGAGAAAAAGAGGTCACCACTGCCTCCTGCAGCATCATGGACTGAGAAGTGTGTTCCTGCCTCTCGACTCCTGGCAACGGTAAATCCCTTCTGGCATGCCCTGAAATGCTGGGATGCTGTGGCAGCACAGCCATTGCCAGAAGCAGGTGCAGGCATCTGTCCAGCTTGGCTGGGCTTCCTTCAGCTTTGAGAAATGATGCCTGTGAGTGTAAGAAACATTCTGACAGTTTCCTGTGACAAAAGCCAGCCTGAATGTGCTGTACCTGTGACCTTGGGAAGCACCGAGACATCTGGAATTTAAAAAGGACAGGTGGTAAGTTTGAGGACATTTTGAAACAAGCAGGAAATGCTGGTATGTTGCTAATCTGTGTGTAAGTGGATGTTCTGAGTTAAAGCCTTAAAATAAATGTGGATATCTCACAGTTATTTCAGAGAATAGATGTGTTTTATTTTTCTGTACCTTTATATGAGTAAGCACTTAGATTAGAAAACAATCATGGTGACTTTTCCCTCACATAAGCCTTAATTTTATCTTGGAAATTTTGAATGTGAGAGAGATAAAACTCACAGGAGAAAGGTGGGAATACCTTGGAAAAAATAATCAAATCATTAGGACCACCTGTTTTTGCAAATTCAGACTTTTCTCTTGAGAAAATCATCCTGTGCTTTCCACATGACTAATCTATATGCTTTTATTGTGTGTTTTCTGACAATACATCAGAGTTCAAGAAGACTTCTCAAAGGGAGTTAACAATAGCTGGAGACATAGCCAGCATCCTCAGTCCTCTGCCAGGAAGAGGATTTTCCTTTCCCATGTCAAACTGAGATTCTGAAACATCTTTCAGCTGAATCTCTTCTTCATAAGAAGCAACCTGCTATTGCAGTGCTGCTTGCTTGTTGCTCACGTCCTTCAAGCGTGCCCTGCAAGAAGCCTTTACACTCTGGAAAGGTTGGAAGTGCACAGGGTTGGCTCATTAGGGTCCCCAGGCAGCAAGAGCATTGCTCTGCCTCTGCGAGGGCTTGCAGGGGACTGGGAAGCGTTGCTGGGTTGGGATCAGAGCGAATGGGCCATCAGCTGGATTTGGAAGCTGTCAGACGTTCAAGTGGCAAAGTAGAAAGTTTAGGAATGCTGAATTCTTCCAGGACTCATTCAGAGGTTCTAAAAGTCTGACCTGATCAGGAAAATCGGGTGTTATGGAGAGATCACAACATTTTAATAACACTTTTCCCTGTATGACTGAAAACTGCTTGAAGCAGTTTGATTGCCTGAGCAAAAATGTGCTAAAAAGCACCCTGAAAACTTGTGATTTATGCATAAACTGCTGCTTACCTGTCTTGTCTCATGGATGCATCACTGTCCCTGGATTCATTGGCAGACAGAAGCCTGTTTTACTCCTGATGAGATTCACCCTTAACCATGTAAAAATTAATGATTTGCATCTAAGACAGTCTCCCAGATCTCTGTGGATGGTCACAGCTTCAGAGGATGAGCTTTTACATGTGAGGAGAGCTGTGATTAATCTTTCTCACTGAGGTCAAAGAATCATTTTATGCCTTGCCTTGCTTTGTTTTGTTCACCTCTCCTTGCCTCGCCTTGCCTGGCTTTGTCTTTGTTTTCACCCTGTTTCTTCTTACTGTTTTTACATTAAATACAGCTCTTACAAGATCTAGACAAGGAATGTAAGCAAGACTGTCCTGAAAGGGGCTAGTATTTATGCATTTTCATCCCTTTTTTTCTCATCTGTCACCAGGTATTCTATTTAATAAAATCAACTTTGAAAAAGAAAGTCAAGTTTCTTTTGAAAAGAAAATTACAAAACCCAGTCATACAGGCTCAAGCATTCTGCTCTTTACAAACCCCCCTGGAGCGAGCAAACCATGTTAGATTTCCAAACATTTATGCAAATCTTCGTCAAACTCCTCTAATCATGTGTGTCCTGATGTTTGTAGTCATTCTCTAGGCTTGAAGTGTGTGTGATGGTGGATGAATCCTGTTGCTCTGTATAGAGAAAATGCCCCAGACAAAAGGCTTGGATAATCATGCTGTTGGATCTGGATTAATTCTTCTGGGATTTTCTGACAACCCCAGCCTGCAGGGCCTGTCCTTCACAGTCTTCCTGGTCATCTACCTTGTGGTCCTCACAGGGAACAGCCTGATTGCACTCGTCACAGTGCTGGACTCAAGCCTCCACAGCCCCATGTATTTCTTCCTGAGGAACTTGTCCATCCTGGAGGTGTGCTACACATCAGTCACTCTGCCAAAAATACTGGTGAGTTTCCTGATGGAAGGTGGCAGGATCTCCTTCCTTGGCTGTGCGGCCCAGCTGTATTTCCTCGTTTTGTTGGGCACCATTGAATGCCTTCTCCTGGCTGCCATGGACTACGACCGCTACGTAGCCGTCTGTGCGCCCCTGCACTACACCCTCATCATGAGCAGCGGTCTCTGCATCAGACTGGTGGTGGGGTCGTGGGTGGCTGTTGTGCCAGTGCAGGTAACACAGACCAACCAGGTGCTTACTTTGCTCTTCTGTGCGTCCCATGACCTTCATCACTTTTTCTGTGACGTGCCCCCTTTGCTAGAACGGGCCTGTGCAGACACTTTCTGGAACCAGGTGATGCTGTACACCATCATCCTGGTATTTGCAGTTCTGCCCTTCTCCTTAATAGTGATTTCTTACATTAAAAGTATCAGGGTGGTTGTGAAAATAACTTCAGTTCTGGGCAGACACAAAGCCTTTTCCACCTGCTCTTCACATCTCGGGGTGGTGACACTTTTCTATGGCTCAGCCACAGTTGTCTACTTCAAGCAATGGTCAAGGGATTCTGCAGACACCAACAAATACCTTGCCCTGTTTCACACAATCGTGACCCCCATGTTGAACCCTGTCATCTATAGCCTGAGGAATAAGGAAGTGAGAATTGCCTTGAAAAGACTCTTATAGACAAAGTGATACTACAGAGTATGTAAAATAATCCTAACTAGTACCGAAAGTCCCACTGGGGTACATGGCTGCCTGAACAAAGCATCCCATCTTTGCTCAATGTCCTGGTTTGAGCTAAATAGAACTAATTTTTTTATTTTACTTTTCAGTTCAATCTCTTTTAAGTGGCTGAACTTGCTGAAAACTGGCAGCTTGTTTTTCCCAAACAGCGCTGCTAGAAGATATGTTCAAGGTCAGTTGTCTCATCATGGGTGCTGTGTCTGCTCCTATGGGGGGAGAAGCGGACCCAAAACTGACCAACAAGGTATTCCATCCCACATACGTCACACTCAGTATAAAAACTGAAGGATCACGAGGGTCTCGTTCCCTTTTCACCCTTCTCCTATCTTGGAGCTCTTCCATCTTGGACCCTTCCGTCCATCTCGATCCTGCAGAGGCCAAGGCCTGAGCAGAACCCTGCTGGTTCATCTGCCATTGATCTTGATTTTGTGTATTCTACATCCTGCTCCCACTGCTGCTGAGTTACTGAAGGATCACGAGGGTCTCGTTCCCTTTTCACCCTTCTCCTATCTTGGAGCTCTTCCATCTTGGACCCTTCCGTCCATCTCGATCCTGCAGAGGCCAAGGCCTGAGCAGAACCCTGCTGGTTCATCTGCCATTGATCTTGATTTTGTGTATTCTACATCCTGCTCCCACTGCTGCTGAGTTCAGTCTGGGACTTTTCCAGTGCCCAGCTCTGCAGAGCCTCTGGTGATGTATTCGTCACTGCGGTGAGGGTGGGGGGAGGATTTTATATTGGTTTTGTATATGTTTGTACATATCTGTATATATTTCATTATTTTTCCTATTTACAATATTATCCTGTAGTATTAGTAGTATTGTTTTATTAAATCTGTTAGTTTATTTTCCAACCCGTAAAGTCTCTCTCCCTTATTCTCTTTTCTCTTCCCTTCTGGGGAGGGGAGAGGGGTTAACAGAGAGCGTCTGTCCAGGATTTAGTGGCCAGCCCAGCCCTAAACCACGACACTCAAACACAACCATGCATCCAGCCTGGCTTTCATCCTCTTCAAGAAGGGGAAAGGTCTCCTGAGGCTTTCCTGCTCTGTCACATCACACCATGATATCTTTGTACTCTCAAGCATCTTCTGTGCCTGTGGTGGTGTGCTTCTCCTGCCCTCCATCCCTCTCAAGCAATAACGAGCAGAGGTGGTTATGATGGCTGCATCCAGCTGAAGTTGGACTTCAGGGAGCGTGATGGACACGCAGTAGCCAAGGGCTGTCTGGCGCAGTGACCCAGACATCTTGGTGGTGTGCAAATACGACTATTAAGTTGTTCATCTTACTCCATAAGTAATGGATGACCTAGTGCTCCTTTAGCTCTCCTGCATGGCAGCAGGCTGCGTACCAGGATCTCCTCTTGAGTAGGGATGGCTGTGGAGGTTACTCATCAACATTGACAGAATCCTTATCATATCAGATACTCAAGTGAATTGGCAATAGGATTGCTGAAACTATATAGCCTTAACTAAGTGATAGAAAGGACTGATTGCACGTGTGTCATCCTTTAGACATAAACCATTGACCAAGTGTGGGACAAAGTCTGCATCCAGCCACACCTCAACTCCTTTCTGAGAAGGAGTTTAAAATGCAAGAGGGTCCTCTCTCAATCTCAAGCCTCGACAAGAGGGTCTCCTTACTGGTTTGCCTGACACTGTCCTCTGTACAGTAAATAATCAAGTGTACCCTTGCCACTGAATCTTGTCACACTTGCCATTGAACTTTGTTAACTCACTAGTTTGTACTAATAAAGTGTATTGCTGCTTCTCTTTTGCAATCAAAGTTCATCTCTCTCCCTCTCTACAACAGTGCCCCTAAAGAGTTTAAAGTCATTAGCTACTTCAAGCTGTGTCTGAACAATGTAATGTTAAAGGGAAACAGTCAAAGCACAGTCAGTGGTCAGTGTGGCCCAGAGGGTGACGCAACGGATGAAGAGATGACTCCTTTCAGGGCTCAGAAATCACTTGCTAGACCCCACAAACTCTCTACAGTGTCCCTGAGCGGAATCAGCTTAAAAAAGAACATGAAAAATCATGTTTCCCTGCTATGATGTCTTGCACTGACTTGTGCAATGCTTGCCTAATTTCACATAAAGTATAAAAAAAGAAATCACCAGGGTGATGGTCCAGCACTGGAACAGGGGTTCAGGGACCCCTGGAGTTTCTGTTCGTCATGGTTTGACACCAGTCAGCAGCGAAGCACCAAACAGCCACTCAGTCCCCTCTTGGTGGGATAGGGGATAGTGGTACTACCATTAATAACAGAAAAAGCACAGTGCTGTAAAGGGATTCCTTCCTATTCTTCATTGTGATTAATTAATGCATTTCAATTTCATTCCAAACATTCATTTTCGTTTGACTTTCATGGTTTATACAGTTACTTTATCACCTGATGCCTCCTACCCACCCTGCCAGAGGAGTTGGGAAAAGGAAAGGAGATTCATGAGTTGAAATAGAAATCTATTTTAAAAATAATAATAAAATCTAATATTAATAACAAGATAATATAAAGTACACAGAGTTATACTCAGCATATATTGTGAGGGAGTAGGCCTCAAGGTTAGGATGGTAAACAAGTCCCTTGAGATGTCAGCCATGGAAGAGGGAAGGAGGAGCAGGAGGGCAGAAGAGAAGGGTCGTCCCCAGCAAACTGCCCAGTTTATAGAGAACGTGATGTTGATGGTATGAACAGTATTAACCGGACAGCCTGGGCTCACCTCGGTATCAACTCCTCTAGGTTTCTGTTCCCCCCCAGCATCTGTACCTGTTTACCTCAAGACCTTGAGCACTATGGCAACCTACATCCCAGGACTGTCCATAGTGCCACGTCAACTTTGTTCCCATGAAATAGAGTGCTGTAGTCTTTACAGCAGTTTTCCTCAACAGAAAATTGACTCTAAAGTTCTGTCCCAGTAAACCAGGGTATTCTAGGATTCTAAGGAAAGGGGGATGAAATGAAGACTTTCATATTTATGGTATTTCTTCTCCCGTGTCACTGACACATGTGATGAAGCCCTGCTTTCCTGGAAATGGCTGAACATCTGTGTGCCCAGTGAATGAATTCTTCAGTTGGGTTTACTGGCACACACTGCTTTTGGTTATGCACTAAAAAATCTTTGTCTTGATGTCACACAGGGCATCCCTCCCCCGTGTCTCATCTTCCCTGTTGGTCTCTCCTAAAGATGTTATATCACCATCCACTACAAATGCCCTGGGACCTGTCCTTCTCCACCTCAGCTCTCATTCCACTGCTGTCACAGCTCTGTCATGGCCCATGGGGCTCTGCTCGCTGTGCCCCAGACTGTTGGTTTTGGTGTCAATTTGGGTTACATCGCCTCAGATGTGACACCAGTGTCAAAGGCAGACTTGTCACATAGAAACCTGGTACCCAGAGGTAGGATCCTTGTGTGGAAAGGCTTTGCTTCCCAGCAGAGGAAGGGGGAGTGGATGACAGGTGGCAACATAATGAAGAGTGAGGTTCCCACAATGAGATCAAAACCTGCAATTCCCAAGGCCAGAGAGAGAAAGGCCTGAGCTGTGCAGCCCTGGCAGGAGAGGGGTTTGCTGTGCCAGGTGACTGCAGCACCACGGAGCCTGTGCCAGGGGTGAAGCTGATATCCAAAAACGACAAGCTGCTGCCACTGCTGAGAAAGTCCACGGGGAAGGACAGCCTGTGGTTAAACCACACTGTGGATATCATGCTAGGGGACAACTTGACAGATAGCGGCTCTGCAGAGAAGGAACTTGAGGTCCCACAGGACAGGAAGCTGAGCATGAGACAGCAGAGCACCCTCACAGCAAAGTCCAACAGACTGCTGGGCTGCATCAGGAAAAGCATTGCTGCCAGATACACAGAGGTGACTCTTCCCCTCTACTCGGCACTGCTGAGACCACATCTGGAGTGCTGAGTCCAGTGCTGGGCTCCCCAGAACAAGAAAGTTGTTGTCGTAGTAAAGAAAGTCCAGCAATGGGCTACAAACCTGGTTTAAGGGACTGGAGCATCTTCCATAGGAGGAGTAGCTAAAAGATGTGGGACTGTTCAGTCTGGCGAAGAAAAGGCTCAGAGTGATCATATTGTGTATACAAAATTATTCTACCAAGCACTTTCCAGCAAAGTCCAGTCCCTTCCCAGCTCTCTCTGCCTTCACTGCCCTCTCCCAGTGCAGCGCTGCAGAGCAGCTCAGTCTGGACTGGTCCCACTGCAATGACCACCACAAGGTGCTGCAGAACTTTGGGCATTCACCCCATAGACTCCTCTTCTTATTGGCGCAGAAGCTCCTGAAAGGCAGACAGGGATGGTAGACTCCCCATCAGCCCCAGGGATGGTGCTGGCCCAATCCCATGAGAAAACAGAGGTGAGGCACTCTCTGCCTGTCCTGAATTCATATTGTAGATGTTCCCAATCCTGACTGAATTTGCCCCCTCCTCTGCTCCCACCAGTCCCATTCCTCAGGACATGACAGTGCTGGCCCTGGGGTCCCTCAGGCAGCTCCTGCATCTCTCCAGCCTCCCCTTCCTGTGCCTGCTGTGTCCCCACTCAGTCCCATGGCACCGCAGAGTCCTTGTTCTGTATATGCTGATTCACTGCTTCACTTCTGGTGGACTTCACCTTTGGGGGTGTTTCACCTTCTGAATCTCCATTCATACCAAATCCAGGGCATGTGGTGAGACCTAATCCTCTCCTCTTCACACCCCTCCAAATTCATTTCACTAGAGTCTTGTATATGTCATCTGTTCTGTCATACATGAAGAAAAATGAGATGATAGAAGTGAGCTCGTGGACCACTACTCCTCTAACACAAAGAAGAGAGCTTTTAAGTCCACAATGTTTGGCCCAGTGGAACCCAATAGTACCAGGAACTTAACCCTAGAAACACTGAGAAGAAAAGGAGAACAGACTCTTTAGAAGACTCATTCCATGCACATTATATTGGCAGCAACTTTGGAGGAAGGGCCCACCCTCCAGGCACTGAACCTGAAGGAACCCCTTTTACTGCCGAGCTGCTATCTGACAGGCCCTACTGAGAGTATTGTTCAAGTCAGACACAAAAATATCAAGCCTCAAGACAAGTCATATAAATACAGAAAACTTTCTATAAACTGGATTATCACAAGAGGAAAAAGCAGACTTGTGGCCTAAGATAAACCTAAAACCTATCTAAAATGTACAGAAAAGGGTAGGCAGGTTTTTGTCAGTGAAACAGCATCCATTGGGCCAACTTCCATAGGGCATCCTTGAGTTCCTGGTTGCTCATGCTGTAGATGAGGGGATTCACTGCTGGATTCACTGCTGGATACAGCACCGAGTACAGAACTGCCACGAAAGGGTCTAGAAGTGGGGAGGAGATGGAGAGGGCTTCAGTTGGGCAAACACTGCAGTGCTGACAAACAGGGAGACCATGGCCATGCGAGGGAGGTGGCGGAAAAGGCTTTGTGCTGGTCTGCACTGGGCAGGACATGAGACAGAACTGCTACCAGGAATCCATGGGAGAAGAGATTTGGTGTACTGGGTGTGACTGGGATAGAGTTAATTTTCTCCATAGCAGCCCACATGGTGTATGCAGTGGAGGGGGTGTGCAGCAAGGAGTCATTCTTTGGTGCCAATGATTGAATTCTCTGATGAGCATCCATGACACTGCTGTGTGCCACCCCTCTGCACTCTTTAGCTGCTCACAAGTGTTTTTCTCACTTGAGCACTTTCTTGAGATCATCTTTGGAAGAAGACATGAACCTTCAGGCACTGCGCTGAGAAGATCCTTTTTGATGATGGAAATGCTGCTATGGAGGTCAGCTCTGTCACACAAGTGGTCACTGCCTGGCCCTGCCCGCTGTCACAGGACTGCCACACTGCAGGACTATGACCAAGCTGCTAGAGCACTTGGAACCCTCAGTAACTCAAGGGCTGCAAAAGAGAGCGTGGAAGGGGAAAGAGAGCAGCTTTGGGCAGACCAAGAACTGGTGCTCCCTGGAAACGCTGCTGTGCCAGGACTGCTTTTCCTCTCCACCTCTGCACCAAGGTATTTCACCTGCAGCTTTACAGTGGTCTCAGAGAAGGACCTCAAGTCACAAAGACACTACAGGGTCCTTTATTTTGTTTGAAGAGAGAGTGCAGCTCCTCATTTACGCAGTCATTAGGTGACAAAAAAACATGAGTAGTGAAAGTGAAGTGAGATGAAGAATGGCACTTTTTTGTGCACAGCAATATTACAACAAAGAAAAGATGAAAACAAAGAACCAGAGAAACATTGTGCCTCTAATGAGTTACACTAAGAGTGCAATGAGATTTACAGAAGACAAGCAGTTTATTGCTGCTTGAAAAGATCTATTCACAAGTTTCTTCATGGCATCTTTGATCTCCTTGTTCCTCATGCTGTAGATGAGGGGGTTCACTGCTGGAGGCACCACTGAGTATAGAAATGACACCACCAGGTTTTGAACTGAAAAGGAAATGGAAAGGGGCTTCATGTTGGCAAAGATGCCAGTACTGACAAACAGGGAGACCACAGCCAGGTGAGGGAAGCATGTGGAAAAGACTTTGTGTTGTCCCTGCTCAGAGGGGATCCTTAGCACAGCCCTGAAGATCTGCACGTAGGACAACACAATGAAAACAAAACACATAAAGACTAAACATGCACTACCCAGAATAAGCCAGACTTCCCTGAGGTAGTCTGAGTCTGAGCAGGAGAGCTTGAGGATGTGGGGGATTTCACAGAAGAACTGGTCCAGGACATTGCCTTGGCACAGTGGTTGTGAAAATGTATTGGCTGTGTGCAGCACAGCATTGATAAACCCACTGCCCCAGGCAGCTGCTGCCATGTGGATACAAGCTCTGCTGCCCAGGAGGGTCCCATAGTGCAGGGGTTTGCAGATGGCCACGTAGCGGTCATAGGCCATGACTGTGAGGAGGGAATACTCTGCTGTGATCAAGAAGAGAAAGAAAAAGGCCTGAGTAGCACATCCTGAGTAGGAAATGGTCCTGGTGTTCCACAGGGAATTGGCCATGGCTTTGGGAACAGTGGTGGAGATGCCGCCCAGGTCAATGATGGAGAGGTTGAGGATGAAGAAGTACATGGGGGTGTGGAGGCGGTGGTCACAGGCTATGGCAGTGATGATGAGGCCATTTCCCAGGAGGGCAGCCAGGTAGATGGCCAGGAAGAGCCAGAAGGTCAAGAGCTGCAGCTCCCGTGTGTCTACAAATGCCAGGAGGAGGAACTGGGTGATGGAGCTGCTGTTGGACATTTGGTCCCTCTGGGCAGTGGGGCCTGTCCAAGGAGAAGGGAACAGTGACAACTCAGAAAAGATTTCTCTTCACAACATCAAAGCTGTTTCTCATAGACTGCACCACCCCCTCACCAACCAACCACATGCACACGCTTTTCCCTGCTTGGCAGGACTTGTTCAGCTCCTGGCTGGAGCTCTGGTTTGTGGTGACTGAGTGTGGCAGAAGGAGCAAGGCCTTGAGCTGCCATGAGCTGCCATGAGCTCCGAAGGTGTCCATTGTGCTCTAGTTCTGGGGGTACCTGTGAGCAACAAGGATCAGATCTGATAATAAGAATTTCTCAGATTAAATCTCTCAGCATTGAAGGGATTTTCAGTCTATGCACCCTCAATGGTAAGGAAGCTGTTTGTAGAAAGGATTTTTAGACTTCTTTTTGTTGTTTCCTTGAGCACCACTTCCTTGCCCCACCCCATCTCACCTGAGGAGTTTTCTATGATATCAGAAAAGAGTAAAGAGACGCTACTTCTGACTGGCAAAAGGCTTCTTGGTCCAGTTGAGGCAACCTGGTTTGTCCATCAGTCTTGTTCCCAGCTGCCCTGTGCTTGCTCCTTCTTTAGATGGAGAGGGATCACACTCCTGTGGAAGAGTGTTTTCTGAGAAGAAAGCAAGCACAGCTGAGAGCAGAGGGATGCCCTGCAGCTCAGCCAGTGTCTCACCTGCCTCTGGGTACCAAAGCCAGGTCTCGGCATCCCACTCCAAGCCAAGGACACAGAGCTCATTTCACCAGCACAGCAACACTTCCCTGCCTGTAGCATCTTTGTGCTGCTCTTTCAGATAACTCACAGGTGCTGTGGGAGACATTTGCAGCCTGGAGGGCAGCTGGCAGCTTAGAAAGACTCTCCGAGGAATTAGCCATATTTCCTGGTGATGGTATTTCATGAAGGGAGAGTCAGCTCACTCTGACTGCACTGCCCAGAGCCCCACAGGTCCGAGGAAAGCTAACACACCTCATTCCCATGGACACATCTGCATGGCAGGATGCACAACCTCAGTGCCTGACTCTGCAGATAGAGCTCCCATCCCTAGGAGCCTGACAGCAATAAAGAGGACAGCACAGACAGGTGGAGAGACAAGAGGAAATACAGGGATGGTGCAGCTGAGAAAAGCAAGCAGAGACAGTCAGGCACTCGGGAAAGCCTCCCCTGTTCCCAGCTGTGCACACCACTGTCCCAGACAGCAACAGCGCAGGGCACTCGCCCTCAGCCTCTCTGCTGGGCAGCAAGAAGCGGGCATGAGTCACTTGGCCTCCTCTGGCTCTTGGGTGGATGGGGAGTCTACTCCAGCCCTAGAACCCACAGCTGCAAGGTCTAGAATGTCCAGCTGTGCTGGATGGGAGAGGAGAGATAAAGAGGGTGTTCAGGGGAAGGGATAGGCACTGCAGGGGATGGCAGGGAGATGCTTGTATATCCTCAGAAAGGGAACTTGTGTTAAATGCTTCCTCTCAGTCTCTGCCCATGTCTCTACTGCCTGCAATTGGCCCTGGCAGGACCTGCTTCTCGGTCCCAAAGTTTGTTGCCTGTCCAGGCTCAGAGATGCCATCCCACTCTGCTCAGCTCTGCTTTGCAGACACCTCCCAGGGGCATCTCTGTGTTTCAAAGTTCAGATTGGAATCTGAGCATCAGAGAAAACTTGATGAGGATGGAAAGTTGATGTTGGTGATGTGTAAGGCATGAGGCCATTGATCTGATGCTCCCAGACTCATTCACTTCTCAGTGAATTCACTTCTCACTCACTCACTCATTCACTTCTCACTTCTCAGGTCTGGAGAAGGCACTGAGACTTGAAATTTCAAGTCTCAGTGCCTTCTCCAAACCAGTGAGAATTATTCCCACCTGTCACTCTCCACCAGTCAAACTCAGAATAGAGAACTTGGAGTAGCGGCTCCTTCCCATTCATGCAAACTCTGGCTTTACTCTCCATCTAGAAAATACCCATCCAGAGATGGCTGGGCCATGAGCTAGACCTGTGAGCAGCCTGGACCTTTACAGAACTCTCCTGATAGGCAGAAAGACCCTGCCCTGCCATGGGTTGCTGTTTCCACCCACTGCCATGGGGAGCAACCTGGGCAGGCTGAGTGCTGACCCTGGCAGGCGGCAGAGTCCCTGCCCCAGCACACAGCCCCTGGGGTGCAGGGACCCTGCTCTGAAGGGCACACCTGGCTGCACACTCATATGCACACCTCCACAGCCATCCCTGGGAGAAGGCAGCAATCATGCCTTGAACCTTTGTTCAGGAAAACCCTGCTTGACAACACATGCTTCTCCTCTACACTAGGCAGACTGTGAAATTCCTTCTGCGAGAACCCATAGGCTATGGGATGTGCCAGCTGTAGGAGATCTCTTAAGGAAACTGCAGCTTCATTCCCCTTCATGCAGACACTTACCATGTAAAAGGCCATGAAGATTTCTCCTCTAGTGAGCTTTCCAATTTTCTTCCCACCCCAGACTTCCTTTAACCTCTCTCTGCCTCACTCCTCTCCCCTTTGTGCCCACAGGCAGTGCCCTCAGCCCTGCTGTGCTTTGCAGATGAGCTGCTCTTGGGCAGAGCTGTCTCTCTGCAGCACTGATGAGTTTCTGTGAGCTCCCTCCATCCCAGGAGCCCAGCCCAGCTCAGCTCAGCAGCAGAGGAGCAGCCCAAGGTGTCTCTTTCTCTGCCCCCTCTGGGCTCCCTTAGTATGTCCCTGAGGCTCCAGGGGAACCTGCTGTGAAACAGGCTGAAGCAATCATCTGATACAATCATCTGAACATCAGCAATCACTGATGTTCCCTCCTGCAGCTGGGGACAGAGACTTCCAGCAGTGGCATTGCTCCTATCAGGCACCAAGTCAGGATTCAGAATCACCTTTCCTTGTTCCATCATTAGACAGAACAAGCAAGAAGTGATAGGAAGGACTTTCCCCTGCTGAGGGAAGGGGTTCAGCTGAGTCGTCCAAGACATCCCATCTTGTGTCTGTAGTCCTGAGAGTGGAAAAGGTTACAGCTCCCTCTTGTGCACAGCACAAACTCACAGGAGGTGGGATTCTACTTAGAATGATAGAATGATGGAATGGTTTGGGTTGGAAGGGACCTTAAAGCAGTTCCAAGCCCCCTGCCACAGGCAGGGACACCTCCCAACAGACCAGGCTGCTACTAGAGCAGGTTTCTCAAAGCCCCATCAAACTTGTCCTTGAAGACTTCCAGGAAGGGAGCATCCACAACTTCCTTGGGCAACCTGTGCCAGTGTCTCACTACCCTCACAGTAAAGAATTTCTTTCTAATATCTAGTCTAAATTTCCCCTCTTCCAGTTTAAAACCACTACTCCTCTTCCTACCACTACCTGCCCTTTCAAAAAGTCCCTCCCCAGCTTTCCCATAGGACCCCTTCTAGAACTGGAAGGCCGCAATAATGTTTTCCTGAAGCGTTCTCTTCTCCAGGCTGAACAGCCCCAAATCTCTCAGCCAGTTCTCTTAGACGAGTTGCTCAAGCCCTCTGATCTGCTTCGTGGCCCCCATCTGGAGCTGCTCGATACCCTGTTTGTGTTGGGGACTCCAGAACAGGACATCCTGGTGCAGAGATCAGTGGAGAGGTCTGATGCAAGGAACAGGGATGTCAGTCCCAGGTGGCCAATGTCAAGAATGGACAGGTTTGGGAGGAGAGGAGCAAAGTTGTCCATACAGTGTCAGACCTCAAGGGAATCCTTTTCCGACCTGTCCAGACCTCCTGAGGAGACACCCTGGACCAATATCAACAGGAGAATGTCTCTATTGCATCTTCACTAATGGACGTTAGACACACTTTGAAATTTCCTCCTTAACTGCTTTATGAAACTTTTCTAATTAGCAGCACAAGACTTGCAGAAAGTTACAGGAAGAAACATGTTTTGTTAAGGCTTTCTGTATTTTAATGAGCCCCGTGGTGTATTTGGTGCTGAGTCCATGAACTTCAGATTATGAGAGAAGATTGAAGAAACTGCTCAAGAAGTCAGAAGCAAATCTCCAAGTTCCCCCACTGAGGGCCATTACTCACAAACTCTCCCCAGGGACTTGTTAGAGCAAAGAATTGGAGGCCATGGTTGCAGGCAGGCAAAGGCACTGTGCAGGTGGTTGTAATGCTAAGAAAAACCTTGCTTTGTCTTATGAAACAGAAAGGCCAAGCCCTCACCCCCAGGCCTTGGGAAGGCAGGTCCTGTCCCTCACACGTGGCTCAGGGCTCTTCTTGGGGGCAGTTGGATGTGAGGGTGAGCAATGCCAAGTGCAGGAAAATTCCGTGACATTTCCTGGCCTCCAAAAAAAGGGGTCAAGATGAAATGAAGTGAAAGCATCAGAAGAAAGTTTCTCCTGTTGGGCCTCAGTGGTAGAGGCAACAGCCTTAGCCAAGGGGACAAAGCCTTGATTTACAAGAAAGGACAGAGGGAAGATGCGGTTCCTGGCCTCCAAAAAAAGGGGTCAAGATGAAATGAAGTGAAAGCATCAGAAGAAAGTTTCTCCTGTTGGGCCTCAGTGGTAGAGGCAACAGCCTTAGCCAAGGGGACAAAGCCTTGATTTACAAGAAAGGACAGAGGGAAGATGCGG